TAATCCATTTTATTTCATTCTTTCATGGTCAACTTTAAAGCAAAGTTAAAGATGTTTGTCATAAAATATTTTATTGTTTTAATCCAGAGTCTTAACCAGAAAATAAGAAGGAAGCTAACTGATTTATTCTGTGTTTCAGTGTCTCTCAGGCGTGCCCAGAACAGCACTTAGCACACACTACCTGGACCATAAATACCTGTCAAGGTTTTTTTTGAAAGATATAACATTCCCATTAACTTTCAGGTTTAGGCACCCACAGAATGAGAAGTGGATTCACTGTCATAGCTGAATTGCATTTACCAAATGCAACACCAGAAAAAGAAAAATCCACATAAAACCACATAGGAAGATTGATCACACATTTTTATTAGAGTCTTTTGAACAATTGCATTTTGTTGTTCCTTTATTTAAAAACTCTTGCAAAAAAAGACATTGGAGTGGACTGGTTTCAACCCTGAGCATTAACACTGCATATCAAGTACTGTAGTAAAGAAGCTGGTTAAGTTTGTAGCACTAGCACAAGTCACTGATATTAATCCTCTAGGTGATCAGGTTTTTACAAAAAAAATACATAGTTTTCAATAAATAATGCTTAATTTTACAACTTTGATACAGCAATGTCATACACTGTTTTGACACATACTAAACTCTGCATGCTATATAGTCTACTAGAAGACAAAACTTTGCCATGCATTTTCTTTTTCTAGTGCTAGAAAACACTTTGTCCTCCAGTGCATTGCCTCAAGCAGCCTTACCATCTTCTTTCTCTCACAGCAATAGGCCGTGCACTGGCATGCAAAAACCTCAAGAAAAGGTTTCCCCCCCACCATCACTCAGACTTCTAAACAAAAGTACTTTTCAGCTTTTCCCCCCAAGACCTGGAGTGGCTATGAAAACTAATTTCATGTGGCCTTGAAAAGTCTTTGAAATTACATATTTTAAAAGTGTCATGCTTGAAAAACTGCTCTAAAACATTCAATTTCCCCCACCTGTGGCCATCATGCAACATCATTGAAATGTTGTAACCATCAAAAGTCCCACACTGGAAAACAGGCCTCCATTTTAAAACAGCCCACCAAAAACCAAAAGGAAATAAGAAAAAAAGTATCACAGCATTTATGTAAAGACTCCAAAACGCCAACATATATACAAGAGCAAAACCAGATACAAATTGTAAATGAACTAACAATGGCATATAACTCTTCTCCCTGGCTTTGCCAGGAGTTGAGGCAAATTGGTTTTGGAGATAAGCAGGACGATGGAAACGAAAACAAATTGTGACAATGGGAGTTCCCGGATTAATCATTATTACTTGATCAAATTTCTTCAAGCAGTAAATCAATGTCTTGATTTTACTGGAAGTGTGAATTACCAAAATCTAAATCTTTACTCAATAATTCTAAATCAAGCCTGCCTCTGAACTTTCAATTCAAGTCTTAGAATTTTGGCACCCTTGCACTTTTTCATCCCGCAAGATTGCACTTCACAGAAAATCCAGATGTAACTAACCACAAAAGAAGAAATTTGATTAATTAATAAGGATTGAAACCTCCATTCTCACACTTCCAGGTTGTTGTTCATCATTGAAAACCATTCACCCCTTCTTATCCATATTGCTTTAGGGGTTTCCTTGTATCTACAGAAGTCATTCCTTTTAAATTGCTGTCAATCACAATTTTTTCTAAGAGTTTTTAAAATATTCCTATCTTTGCACTGGCATAAGTATTGGGTTTTCTAAGAGAATCTCACCCCAAAGAAGGTATTACTTTTATACATGAAATATTACGAACTTTTGCTTCCCTTTTTGTAAGTCATTCTACATTTTCTGCACATTTGTGCTTTATATTGAATATAAAAATAGGTCTTTAAAACTCTATTTACTTTAAACTCACTAAAAAACTACTTGCATGTGAAATTCTCTTACAAATTCACTGCATCCATGTAGAGAAGATAAAACTAATTAGGCAGTTAATTGGTATAGGTAGTGTGCAAAAAAATTTAAAAAAAAACAATCACAGCCTTGGATGTGAGTGAGGGGAAAGGAAATTAATCAAAGAAATACAACTGTATAGTAGGGGAAATGTAAGGCAACTCATTGTATTAAGTTTTTGTTGTTTATTTTTTCCTGGCCATTCTTACAAATGAAGGTTAGGAGGAGATAAGACACCTATCCTGCCAGCAGCCCTTGAGGCAAAAACTCCCATTAAGCTCAATGAGAATTTTTTCTTTTTTTTTTTTTTTTTTTTAACCAGAGCAGGTTTAAGGCCTTACTAGGCAACTATTGTGAGGATGTAAAACAGAATCCATGAACGGTTTTGATTATCAAACACCTAAAACTTATATGGCCCTGACTTTGACCCCACACCAGTTTTCCCCTGGTGTAACAACAGAGTTGCACTTCCCTCATAAAGGCAGGAGTGAAGGATCATACTGCACGCATGCAAATCACATTCAATAGACTTGAAGTTTCATCTGAATGTCAGCGAATGCCTAAAGAGCATGTAGCACTTAAAGGACGCTTGGAATGAGCTTTTCTACCACATTTATAGAAGACTGCACTTAAAGAGAGAAAATGTTTCTTAATTGTGGTTATTTTTAAAGGAAGGGGAAAAAAACAGAGTAAAAACATCAAAAGGGGGGAAAAAAAGCTTGGAAAAAATGATCGCCTTAAAGATAAAAAGAATCAGCATGTTTGATTAGGTTTTACATTGAGTCGACATCCTCAGTGTTAGTAAGGAAATTGTCTTTCGACATAGAAAAGCTCATTTTCCTCCCTCCTATCACTGAGTCCTATTACACGTAGAGTAGTATTGTACAGAGACAAATGCAAGGAATGTGGGGAAAAAGGCCACGGGAGACACCAGGCCTGCAACAGGACTGCTCTAGCACATCAACAAAGATTCCTATGTACACAGAAAACAAAAAACGCAAGAGAAACAAAGGTATGAATACTATTAATGACAAAATAAAAAAGAGTAGCTTAGCAGATGCTATTTTTCATGAGTAGAAGATCGTTTTTTACTCTCACTGAGACCAGTAGGAGCTTAGGCATTCAACAGCATCAGACTTCAGCCCTAACTATGCAGTGGTTTAAACAGAACACTACCTAGTTTTTCCTTGTACAATATGCAATGATACAGTCTAAAATAAAAATAACTGAAGTGTTTGGCCAAAAAATGATTTCCCTGCACCATATACCTTCACTCAAAATATTCCTCTGATATAGTACAGTATAATTCCCAATTAGAAGAAAGAAAAGATACTTTTGAGTGGGTATTATATTATTTGACTAAAGTAGACCTGTTGCTCTTTTAAAATATGCCTGACTGCTCTTCAATTGGATCATTTAAATCAGCTATCCTTGAGTAATATTTTAAATGGCAATTTTAAAAACAGTTTCCAAAAATATATGCAAGTCAAAACTTTTGTAGGCTGAGACACAGACCTTATTACAATGCTAACTAAATGCAGCCTGTATTTGACCATAATCATTCATAACTCATTGAACATCTGTAAAGCACAAATGTTTAATGACACTGCCTATTATCACTTTAATAAACAAGGATGCATATCAGAAGAAAGGGTCTGAAAGAACAAGTCACCCTACTCTCATGATAGCTTGAAGAATTACTAAGAGAATTTTGGCTCAGTTTTAAGACTTAGAACCTGATCAACTTACTCCATCACCCTAGCCCAAAACAGGATTTTCAATAGCAGGATAGTGAATGGCTAGGCTAGAGCACTTCAGTGTAACTATTTTCTTTCAGTCTTTTGCCTTAGAAGAGATAAATGTCATTTGTTTTCAATCTGATTTCTAAGTTATTACATGGAGAACACACTAATCATTTGAGACCAAAAACTGAAAATTCAAGAAACTCTGTTTTATTGAGGACTATCCATTGCCAAGGATATCTTGTATATTGTAATTAAGTTTGTTTTAAAACACAGTTTCTCATAAAGAATTATCACAATGCAAGACATAAATTTGAGTTCCCAGATATGCTATATCTCTTTTCTGATAGCAAAGATTTAGGCCAAACAACTTTTATTTAGAATCATGAGTGTTTTATTATTATTATTATTATTATTAGAAAGAGATCAGATTATATTAATCATTTTACTACCAGTTTAACTAACCTAAAGTAAGATATCTCACCACTTAAATGCCTAAGAGTTGTCTTTGATTAAACATAACATGCATGCAGGTTTTAATGTTATGTTTTATTATGCCTTACAAATGCGTATGCAGGATTTTCATTTCAGCAAATCTGAAAGCCTGTAGCAGTGGTTGCCACCAAAATACCAGCACAGTGAATTGTCCCTGTAAACAGCTGGATCATTAATTAGCGGAGAAAAAAAAAAAAAAAGTAGTAATAATTTACCAATGCCTATCAGATAAAAAAAGTAAACTTCTTGAGAAACAAACTTCCACCTCGTGAGTCTGTTTATTGCCATCAGCAGCTATTTCAGAGCACACAACTGAAATCCGATGGCTGCTAAAGTCAAAAAAAAAAAAAAAAAAAAAAAAAAAAGCACACCGATAAAGTCTGCTTGCCTGCAGCCGAAGCTCGTAGCCCTTCCCTGCTCCCCTGCCCTGCGTGCCCGGAGCGGCGGTGCCTCCCCGGCGGGCCGAGCGCCGCCCGGGCCGGAGGAGATGCGGCACCGCTACCCGCAGCATCTCCACCTCCATGGGCCTGGCCAGGTTACTCATCGCGGACGGGAGAGGGGGAGGAAAAAGCGGCGCGGGGAGAGCCCGGAGCACGCAGAGCGGGGAGAGTCGCCGTGCCGGCAATGCCGAGGGCGGGCGGGCAGCAGCCGGGCCCCGCGCCCCCGCCCGGAGCCCCTGCCCGGGGACAGCCTGCCCCTGCCGCCGCCCCGAGCGGCACCGCGGAGGCAGCGAGCAAACCCCGGCCCCGCGGAGCACAGCCCACGGTGGGAAAAAAGCGGCGAGAGGAGGAACAAAAAAAAGGCAAAGAAGCAGTCCTGACTCTCCTCCCCCCTAGCTCTGACCATGCACTACAGCCTACAGCTACCGCTCCTCCGCGGGCCACGGTGACAACACGGCATCTCCAGCGCTCCTGCTACAGACACTAATTGCGATACGAGTTTCTATCAGTTCCAGCTGATTTATTAAAATTGTAAAGATACAGACTTTCAGCATTAAAAAAAAAAAAAAACCAGGCTATGATGTTGACAGTGCACAAGTCTGCTTTTGCCATCATTTGCTACAAAATATGCAGATGGTCTGTACTTTAGATTATATTGCACAACATGAGAAACTTTTTAAACTATGTGCCTTTTTTCTTTTTTTTTTTTGCTAAAATCGAGAATCCAGTTTCATACCTTCCATCTGGGGCCCCATCCACATATCACAGCGTATGAGATACATAAAATCCTACTATAGTACAGTACATATACAATCTTTTAAACTAAGATAACAGCTCTGAGGTCTATATCACCATTTTCAATAAATCTTTACCTACAAATATTGAACAAATCTGAACTATAGCTGTACAAAAAAAGTGTTTGTTTCTTTTTTTTTAAACCACAAGGCCTTTAGATGCAAGGATTATTTTTTAAAATTTTAATCCTTTTAAAACCAGGACGTAACGTACCAACAAACTTGCATGCTAAAAACAGAGAAAAACAAAGAAAATAAAAGGGAAGAAGTGCCTGAAAAGTCTTACTGAAAAAACACAGCAAGAATGTTCCCTTTTCACTGTACAAAAATACGCCTGAAAATATATTAATTTTTAAAAAAGACTGAGGTCTGTTATGTATCAAAAATGTTTCAATACCTTTTTGTACTGAGGTCTAGGCTGTCTGGTATTCAATCAAGGAGGTATAAGGGAACAAGTTACAAAAAAAAAAAGTTGGCAAGTAGAAATCACATTTGTAAAACCATAAACAATTTGATCTGAAAAGTAAACTCTGATCTTAAGTCAGTTCAGTTATTTGTAAGCGTTTGTACAGTCTGCATTTTTTCAAGCTCCCTGCAGCTTTGATAAGAATCGGATGCATAGAAGACATCAGTTTTCTCCCTCCAAAAAAAGTTGCAATGGTCCCTTTCGGAAAAAAAAAAAAAAATCATAACAGTTCGTTAAGATCTCTCACGGGAAAAAAAAATAAAAATCCACAAACCCCCTTGAGTAACAGTTGTGCTGCCAAAAGACTTCTTTGCAGACCATCTTCCAGACTTCAATCAGAGACCGACAAGCTTCAAACAGCGCCTTCTGTATCATTTTTCCCCCAGTCCCATTTGCCTTTGCTGTTGTTGTTGTGATCACCAAACATAATAAAAATTAAAAAAACACAAAAAAAAAAGTAAAAAAAAAAAAAAAATCACAACTCCCGGGCTCGGAACTAACTTCGAGATTTTTTTTTTTTTCAAAGAAAACAAGACTTATTTTTTAATCATTATCATGATCATCATCATCATCGCCGGCGTCGCGCCGCTGCAGCTCCGCCGCTCTCGCCGTCCGCCCTGGCCGCCGCCCCCGCTCAGTACGTGAACACCAGGTCGGAGAAGTTCGCTTCCAGCCAGTCGCCCGCGATCATCTCGCTCAGCTCCGGGGTACAGTAGTCGGGGAACTCGAAGTGGGAGCCAAGGCTGCCCTCGCTGAAGGAGTCCAGGTCCTTGTCCACCAGCGAGAGAGAGAGGTTGCCGCCGGCGGCGCCCGCCCCCAGCTCGGCGGCGGCGTGGCCGTGCTGGGAGAAGTTGAGGCTGAGGTCGAAGAGCAGGTCGTCCGCCTCCTCGCTGCCGGCCGACGAGGTGGAGATGGACCGGGAGGAGGCCGGGGAGAGGCCGGGCGGCTGCTGCGGCGGCGGCGGGCCCTGCTTGGTGATGTTCTTGAAGCTGTAGTAGAGTCTGCTGCCGCCGCCCGCCGCCGCGGCGCCGCCCCGCACCTCCTCGTACAGGCTGGCCCCCTCGGTGGACTCCGCCGAGGAGCTCAAGGTGGGGCTGGCCGGCACTTTGGCCACGTTGTACCGCCGCAGCTGCTGCGGCCCCGGCTCCTCATCCTCGTCCTCCTCCTCCGCCTCCTGCTTGATCCGCAGCTGCAGCTCGTCCTCGTCGTCCTCCTCATCCTCCTCCTCGTCCATGAAGACGCACTTGACCGTCTTACTGCTCACTTTCAGGGTGCCGAAGACGTACTCGTCCCCCGCGTAGTCCCCGTGGTGGGCGGTTTTGGCTCCCGGCTTGGGCGGCGAGGAGCCGGAGGAGGATTTCAGCTTGCTGCACTTCTTGCTGGAGCTCTTGGCGCTCTTACTGCCGCCGCTGCTGGCGGGCGCGTTTTTCTCGGGACTTTGGCTGGCGTTGGGCTTGGCCGACGGGTCCATTTTGGGCTTTTTCCTGGGACGGTACTTGTAGTCGGGGTAATCAGCCATGTGCTTGAGCCGCAGCCTCTCCGCCTCCCGGATGAAAGGGATCTTCTCGCTGTCCTTCAGCATTTTCCACCGCTTGCCCAGGCGCTTGGAGATCTCCGCGTTGTGCATGTCCGGGGACTGCTCCATGATTTTTCTCCGCTCGATCTTAGACCACACCATGAACGCGTTCATCGGTCTCTTTATGTGCCCCGACGCCGTTTTGCACCAGTCCGGGTCGCTCTCGTCTAAAGCGACGGGGCTGCAAGCCATGAACTCGCCCTCTTCGGTGTCCATCGCTTCCCGGGGCAGGTTGCTCTCCGCCTCCGTACTCTCCGCCTGCTGCACCATGGTGGGCTCTCGCCGAGGCGCCGCTCCCCTCCGAGCCAACAAAGCCGCTCCGCCGCCGCCCCCTCCCACCGCCGCACCTTGCCCCTGCTGCGAGCAGCCGTGTGCGCGGCGCAGCGAGGCGGGGCCGGCCGGGCGCGGTGCCTGTACCGCCCGCTCCGCTCCGCCGGCGCTGGGGCCGGCCCGGGCCGGGTCGGGCGCGGCTGGGCTGGAGCGCTGGGCGCGCGCTGTGCCCGTCCCCGGCCTCGCGCCGCCGCCCGCCCTGCGCGCGCTGCCCCTTCTGCGAAACTCCCGGCTCCGCGCCTCGCGCGTTATCAGCGCCTCATATGGGTGACATCACCGCCGCCGCCGGCCAATGGCGCCGCTCGGCGCCGCCCGCCGCCACGCCCCCCCGGCCGGGCGCTGACACACCCCCGCGCGGGGAGGAGGCGCCGCCGCCGGCGCTCCCCGGCCCTCGGCGGAGCGGCTCCGGCCCGGGCCTTCCCTCCGCCCGGGGGTCGGCAGGGCCGCCGGGGGGGCTTCGCCCGCTGGCCCCCTCCGCCGGACGCGCAGCGTTGCGGGGCGGTGCGGGGAGGCGGCAGCGGCGGCTCCCTCGTGTCTCGCTGCCTCCGGAGGCCGCGGCGCCCCGCGTGGCTCGGGGCGGGCGGCAGGGGGCGCTGGCGCTCCGCGGCTCCCGCGGCGGCAGCCCCGGAGCGGGAGCGGCCCCGCCGCGGGTGCGGGCGGATCGCATCGCGGCGGGCATGGCGCTCTCCGCACATGGCCCGCTTCTCCTCCTGCTCCCCTGAACCCCCGCAGGCGCCTCGGCCCTCCCGGGGCGTGTTTCGGTGTCTGGTCGGTAAAGAACGGAGCTGGGGGTAGAGCCTGGTGCGCTCCCGGCTCCCTGCGGATGCGGACGGTGCCTCGGTGGCCCCGGCCCGCCGGTCGGCGGTGACCGCGGTGGGGGAGGTCCCCTTGTCCCCGGGGAGGCGCGGGCTGTCCGCAGGAGGGACGTGAGAATCGTCGCACCCACCTGGAGGCACTTACCGCGTGGTGTAGGCAGAGGATAAAGGCACCTTCCCCAAAGTACAGCGTGAAAATATACAGAAAGCATCGAACAGTGATGATTTTCTGTTTGTTTGTTTGTTTGTTTGTGTGCCTGTTTTCTCGGAAGCACCAAGTTATTCAGGACATCCGGATAATCCCATGTTTGATTTTATCACAGAATGTCTGAAATCCAAAGGTTGACAGTGTGCTACGCACCTGTGGTCATTTTAATTGCAAAAAGTATGCTGGAAATTAGTTCGCATACTGTTTTATGCACTCCTTTGCGCTTTTCCAGCTACCGTTTGCAGTTATTAGAAAAGGGAAAGTTTAATAAGTCCTGTGATGCTTGCTGTCTGTATACGGACACAATGGCAGTGAGAGGAATGAGCTCAGCTTCTCCTCTGCCCGAGCACGTCCTATGAACTGGGGCTAATGGGGCAGTAGGTCCCCTGGTACATCATCCTCTAATTATCCCAGTGGTTCATTTTCCTCAGACTATGGCAAAATGACTGTGTTTGGATGATGTGACTCTGATATCATAGGGCTGCAGAGTGGCCAGAGCTGTTACAGGAACAAAACCAAAAAAAGTGGAAACGTCGCACACTTCTTTTAGCTGTAGGGACAGGTTAGGGCTGCCAGGGCTCAGCTGCACTTGTCAGGAGTCAGGTGGAGCTTGAAGGATACATTTGAGGCAGATACATGGTGTTATGTCACCTTCCTTGCCCGACCCCAGCTGGGTGTACAGAGCAGAGGGAAGGAAAAGGGCATAGCTGAAGAAGGTTCAGTTGCTTCATTGTGAAGATGGATTTTGAAAAATAGTGCTGTGCCTCTCCATGACTGTGCCCAGCCGTGATTTCTGTTCTGAGGCTTTTGCCACCTCTCTCTCTCCCTCTGACTGCACTCCGTGGTACAATCTAGCTCCATAATAATGTCTATCCTTTGGGACACGGGGGATAAAATGGAAGATTTGACTGGCAGGCTTCTCAACCTGACACAAAACGTTAAAATTTAGAGAAACCACATGAGAAGAGGGTGCAGTACCTCTGGGAGGGAGTGCCCGAGTTCCTGTCGCAGCTGCGGTCAGCTGTGGTCTCTCCGGGCAGGGCTGCTGGCAGCGCAGGGCATTCCTTCCCAGAGGAATGAGTTCGGCACTTCCTGCCCCATCTGGGTGAGGACTCGCTCAGACTGGGCATGCTGTAGAGCCTTCTGGGTCAGCAGGATTCTGTAAAAATTGAGAGGGTGTTTCCTGTAAAGGTGACGGGGACAGGAGTCCCCGGAGTGTGGAGGTGCCTGACTGCCTCGGGGGAAGGCAGCCTGGACACTGCTGGGACCTTCACTGGGCTGACAGCAGAATACCAGTGTCTCACCTAACCCTATTTCTTAGCATTCCTCTCTGAGTACCAGCATTCAGATACCTGGTGAGAGATTCTGCAGTTTTGCATGTATTTTAAATCCAGATAGAAATAAAGGTGTAATTTTGCAAAATGAAAAGTGTCAAAATGTTTGAATTTGTTGTTGGCATTTAGGGGAGATTTCATTATGTCATATAGTTGCATAAAATTCAAGCTGACGAAATGAAAACTGAATCTTTATTTCCTGTGAAGTGAATAAAATCAATGAATTTTTTTACAAAGCACTCCCGTTCTTTTTCAAATAATTTTACAAAAGCCATAAACTATTTTGCAAAATTTTCACTCACTTGCAATGGAAGGCATATAATCAATATTGATAAGACTGGGACTCAATATGCCAGGATGACAGAATCTGACATTTAATACATTAGGATCAGGTGAGATAATTTTTAATAAAGCTTTGGTGTCATTTGAATCCACTGTCATTACACCAGTCTTCTGGGATATTTCCACTCCTTCATGTGTGTCCCTGTGAAGATGTGTATTAATGCTATGGGCATCACATAATTTTCATAAATCCAATTTTTCTATATTTGTGTTATATCTCATTTTCTGAGTATCTTGGTAGCATTTCAATTTTTCCTCAAAAGTGATCTGTTAAATATAAACAGCATTACTGTTTTCTCATGCTTATTCATGTTATGTTTTGGTTGGTTTTTGTTGTATTTTAAGGGTAGTGCTAGGAAGATAATGAAGCTGAAAACAGACTGACAAATAATAGCCACACTCTATAAAACAAAAAAAAATCTCGAGGATTTTAGAAATCTGATTAAACATGTACATGAATAAGTAGATATTACTGTTAAAATTAAATAATTTTGTGTTCTAAAAGCAGTCCAATAATTGTGTGTGTGCATGTATATTCCTATTAGAGTGCAGCAGTTAGAGCTAACAGCCCACTACTCGTTCTTTTGAAATTCAAATGAATAATCATCTTCCCATTATCTAGGTCAATAGGAGGCTGGGCTACCCCAGAAAGTGGGGAAAAAAACCAGGTAAAACAGGATCCACTAAAGAGCTTAATGCTTTTCTCCTTGGATGGAGTCTGTTTTTGTGGGTGTGCACCTACACTGGGTTTCCCAGTGCTCTGGCTGGGGAGGTGTGTTATTCTGGGTGGCCTGAGGCATGTGAATGGCACTGGAAGCACTGAGGTGTCCTCGGCAGGACGCTGGTGAGGTGCCTGCAGAGGCCTGAGGCAGCAGGAAACTCTTCATGTAGGAACACAGGTCCCTGCATGTGTCCCAGCGTGCCTCCATCTACCCCCATCGGTGCTTAGAAAGGCGAAGTGAGGTGTGTTTTTAAGAGACTGACCTTATGCAGTCCTTACAAGATTTTGACTACCAAACAGGAACTAAAAATGAGCAAAAAAAGGTTTGTTGTTCAAGAAACAGTGTTTTAGAAAAGTGGAGGATATTCCCTCTCCTTACAGTGCCTGTTCTCTGTGTTAAATTTGAGTAAACTGAAAGCCAAGATTTTCCACTGTGCTATCTCTGATGATAAACAGTATTATGAGTACAGTGTTCTTTTGGCTATTTATTTCTTGCTTGTTCTGAATTGTGCTGCAGATTTTTGCCTGGAGAGCCCAAAATGGCTTTGCCTGGGGAACGTGTGGGAAAGCCGGAGTTACGCACCTTCTGCAAGGTGTGGGAAGTGGCTTCAGTCACAAGCTGTGGATTCAGAATGGAAGAAGAGAGAATTACAGTGTCAAGAGGGTTTTGTTTTAATAGAAAACATATGATGAATTCTGAATGGAGGGGTCACACCCAAGGTTAGTTCACAGACACATTTCCTAGAGATCTTCCCTGGAATAAACATAAATTCCTTGAGTCTTGCATTCATGAGGAAAAATATAAGCTACTTCATGTTAGCTAAACATGGTAAAATTGTGAAAAGGCACACAGGCTGTGCTTTTTAAGATTTGGTAAATCTTCTCTGCCTTAGAGTTTATTTCTTAAGTTGCTAATTCAAATGGAAAAGCCAACTTCTTGTCATTGCTAGGAAAATGGCATCCTCTCTTTTCAGCATGGTATCCATGCTCTTGGATTGTGTAAGGCTGGTTCACAAAAGGTCTTTGTTTTGAAAATGAAAGTGCCCAGAGCTGACAGGTGTCCCAACCAAACTTCAGCTGAAGAGGTAAAGAGGACTCATGTAACTGAAAAAGAGTAGTCATTTGAGAGGACATACTAGTTTAACCATAATCTAGCAAAAAATTACGTCCAGTTTGAAACTAAATGCAGACAAAGGTATCCGGATAGATTTCACCTTGATTTTGTTTGCAAAAAATTTTTATTTTGTCAAAAGTATGTGTATCAGATACCACTCTGGTGAGGACAGTCTGAGGGTGGTTTACTGGCTTCTCAGTACAAAGTGTGGTATCTCCTCAGGCAGTGTGGTCCTCTGCTGCTGGAGGGGTCCTGCTGGAGCCCAGAGAAATTGGTAGTGGGAGCAGGAGCAGCTCCTCCTGACTGACCTCCTGCCAGACCTTCATATTCCACTTACTCATCATGCAGTGCCCAGCTCTGGCCACCCAACAGAGCTGTGGCACAGGTACTGATTTTGAGCTGCCTGCTGCCTGTAGGTAGCCCCAGAAACATTGCTTA